GTCTTTTGTAAGGGTATTGTATGCATGTGCAGGCACCATGGAGGCTGGTGTTGCATGTGGCTGTAAGCTGCCTGGTGTGGGCCCCGGACCTGCATCTGAGTCCTCTGAAAGAGCAGTAAGCACAGGAGCACTTAGGGACTGAGTGGCTCACATTGTTTTTAAGACACAGTCTCTCATTGGTCAGGAGCTTGCTGAGGAAGGACCTAAGCTGGAGTCACAGACCTCACATCAAAATGTAAATGTTGTCTGTGTGGTGGGACATACTTGTAATCTCAGCACTGAGGCAGAGATAGGGTCCTGGGGCATGCTTGCCAGGCAGTCTAGCTGAATGAGAGAGAGACTGACTGTAAACACAAGGCAGAGTGACTAAGGAAAGCATCCAACTGAGGGATCTCCAGCCTCATCAGCACTTCTCAGAGTGAGTGCTTAGAACAGGAGAGCACAGGGAAACAGTCCTGTGGGAACACAGGTCTCAGTAAAGACAGGAAGGATGCTCTGGCAGTGGCAAGTGTTTCCTGTTGCATCACTAGGGTTCTGGCTTCCCAAAAGAGAGCAACAGGAAATGGAAAGATGAACAGAGAAGGAAGGCGGCTCCTTGGAGGACAGGATGGGTGCTGTGATGAGGTGGGGTGCAGACCATCTGGGTTTCTACTACTGTTGGCCAAGTGGCTTTGACCATGCTCTCTGAGCTGGCAGGGGCTTTCTAAGAAACGGCATAGCAGGAGAGAGCACAGGTCACGGGGGTACCAACCCCTGATTTATTGATTGTGCGAGTCTAGGGACCTGGTTTATCTATACACAGAGACAATACATCCTGCTCTCGAGGATTCCCGAGTTTAGCAATAGGCTTTTAATAGTATCTGGCTTATGAAGCAACCTTACCTTAGCAATAGTGTCCAGTTTTTCTTTGTCAAATAAAACCCGTAACATCCCAGCACATAATGGGCAGCAAGCCCCTGTAACAAAAACCATTTTTGTGTGTTCAGAATTAAAACAAGGAGAATCCAAAATTACAGGTGAGGTGACTAGGTCCCAGGTGGCCTTCCTGATGATTGTATTTTTCAGCTGTGTTCAACATCCAACCCAGGATCCTAATATCACCAAAGTCATCCATCCTCCAAACACCGTCCTCTGGTGATGCGGGGCTGGGGAGTAACAGCACACAGGTCTGCCTGCCTCTCATCTCCCACTCTGGTCCTGAGCCACAGCTTGTGCCGTGCCTCTCTGTGTTTCTCTGTCTGCATAAGGGAATTTCAGGGCTTCTGAGTGTTTGCTTCCCATGTAATATATTTCAAACTACCTTAACCTGTTTACAAACCATGGCAAGGGTTGAGACAGTCACATCTTAGGCCACAGTTAACAGAGTTCCCACCAGGCCCTCCCCACCCCTTCACTCAGCTTCATCAGGCAGTTCTGATTGGACAGTTGGGTCTTGGGGAACCTTATGTCTCCTCCCTTAGAACATGCTCTCCAGGAGGGAAGGGGCTTTGTTTTGTTCGCTGCTGGGTCCCTGGTGCTTAGAATATTGCCCTGAACACAACGGGTCCCAGTGAGTCCTTGATGAGCTCACAGATGGAGACTTTGGAGACCCAGAATAACCTGTACTGAGCAGGCTTGGGGTGAAGGCTCCTCCGCTCTGCCTCACTGATGAGCATGCATTTAAGGTACACTGTCCTGGAAAACTGACGCTCACAGCTGTTTGTGTGAAGGAGCTCTCTGTTCCGACACACAGCTGAGATAAGGTGACCCCCCAACCCCCACCACTGCTTCTCTCTATTACGTGTTTGTGTTCATCAAACATGTTAACTATCCATCTAACTAATAACTAATTGTCCAGCCATTTAAGAATAAGTAAATGCTATGTATTTAATTCACAATCCTAAATTTTTAATTTAAATGCTATTTACCTGCTTATGTACTGACACCTGATATAAAATTTTGCTCGAAAAAAGTTGCCATGCTGTTGTTTTTCTTTTTAATTTTTATATTAGATTTATTCATTTTATGTGTGCTTTCATGTATGTATGTATGTATGTATGTATGTATGTATGTATGTATGTAAACCATATGTGCACTCAGTGGCAGAAGAGGTCAGAAAAGGGCATAGGATCCTCCGGAACTAGAGTTACAGATGGTTGTGAGCCAACTCATTAGTGCTAGAAATTGAACCCAGGTCTTCTACGAGAACAAGTGCCCTTACCCTGAGCCAGGTCTCCAGCCACTGCCGAGCTGCTCTGATGTCGGCAGAGCCCGTCTATCTAAGGTAACCCATGGCTTTGGAGTTAGCTCACAATCATCAGCATATGAGTCCCTTTTCATTTGGGACAGCATCTTCTACTGTATCCCAGGATGCCTGTACCATGGGCATCCTTTCTGTCTCAGCTGAGTCTTTCATCACAACTTTTCAGTGTCTACAGACCAGTGAAGTCTCTTCTCGATGGTTCATTTTCCGGGGTGGATCAGCAAATCTTTCTGGTCCCACCCCTGCCCGACTGAGGCCTCCAGCTCACCTGGTGGAATGATGGGTTTGCAGCCTATAGCTGAGAGGGAAGGACACTTCACAGCAGCGCACTCGGCCACAGCACTGTATTCAGAGAGGACCCCCACAGCCTGGCAGGGCCCGTAGTAATCCACTGCCACACGGTCCGAGTAGGCAGCACACACACTACTGTACGTCTCACCATTGTGCCCACAAACAGGCTCTGTGGTCCTGCAGAAAGGCTGAGGAAAGACAAATAACTTTTAGCCTGGAAACTTCCATGGTACATCTTTCTAATTGTGAGCACAGAGCTGATCTCCCTATTTTCAGGAAGTGAAAAGACACAGGTTTAAGTTTTGGGGACTCTCTAAAGTCCTGGGGTGGACTAAGTAATAGGTTGTCACAGGATCAATTGAAAAGGCTTTTATTCCACTGAGACTGATACAAGATAAAAATATCCCTTCACCAACACTTCTAGTAATCACGAAGGTCTAAACAAAAAGACCGATCTTCATGAAAAGGTGGGACCTGACCATTTCATGCTGGGTATGGGAAAAGGGGAGGGAGGGATGGGCTGAGAGATGAGCAGGGGAGATATAGTCTAGACTTATTGGGTAGTTAGGGATATACCTGAGAAACACCCTAGCTGAGGAGAGGGAGCAAGGATGAAGAGAAGGGTGTGGGTGTGTGTGTAGCACGTGATGTCTATGTAAGCAGGACACCAGCTCCAAGAGAAAACAGTAGCCAGACCAGCTGAAGGGATTTTCTCCACATGGGTCGAAGAGCACGTCAGGCTTTAGTGGGCTGCAGGCAGGTGATGCTGGCTGGGGTCTAAGGTGGGACTCTCCCAGGACAGGGGTCAGCACAGAATCAGGAAGGTCAGTAGGAAGCTCCGAGGAGGCTATCCCCTAAGTGTATTTAATGTGGAAGCAGATCTTCCAAGCCTAAAAGACTGAGTTAGGTCTATGTAAAACAAATCTTAGAGAGTTTCATATCACTTCAGACCAGTGGGAGAAGGTGGGGGGAGAGGGGGAGACTGCTTTTCTTCCTGATTTTTTTCCTTCCTTCCTTTTTTTTTTTTTTCTGTTTTTTGATTTTTGAGACAGGGTTTCTCTGTGTAGCCTGTCCTGAAACTTACTCTGTAGAGCAGGTTGGCTTCAAACTCATAGATCTCTTCCTGCCTCAACCTCCCAAGTGCTGGGATCAAAGGCATGTGACACCACTGCCTGACCTGATTTGTTTTCTATGACAGTCACAGAACTTCGAAGCAATAGAGAGTGGTGACCATACCCAGTGTGAGCCTTAAGTCTTTTCCTAGGACTAGGCTCTACAAAGCCAGTGTCTGGCAGCTTCTACACTCCTCCTCAGAGGCACACACTGACGCCAAGTGTTAGCCACACCACTCCTTTCTCAGCGGGGCTGCATTCTGCTTGTCTGGAAAGGTCATAAACTAACTTGATACCCTTAGGTTTGGTAGACAACGCACATACCTGGCAAGGGCCTCTGTAAGACAGGCTTTTTCCTCGTTGGTACAAAGTGCAGAGGTTGTTGTGCTCCACGTGATCTGTGTCACACGCAGGGTCTCGGGCCTGGTCACAGGTGAGCTGTCTGGGCACACACTCATACTGGCTACACCCAAATTTATCAAAAGTTGTCAGGCAGACTTGTGGTTTTGGCACACATCTGAAAGAGATGGAAACAGCAGGTGACCGGAAGCAGGGAAGAACTGTGGTTGGGGCAGCAAAGCCCTGGGTGTGGCACAGGAAGCTGAGGAAAGGGCTGGGTTAATGCACTGCATGCAGAGGACAGGCAGACTAGAAAATGGCAGACACACTGCTCAGAGGGAATTAGTTGCTGAGTGGTGAGCCCTGGGCACACATGGAAGATGGCATTCTAACTGGAACTTGGTGGGTAAGGAGAGCAGAAGCAGGCTAGGCTGAGGGAGGAGCCACAAACATGAGGTGATATTCCAGGATGTGGGGGTGGGGAGGGATGATCTGGGGTAGGTAGGGGTGGTAATCGAAGGGTAAAAGCCTAGGACTCGGGTGTGGAGTAGGAGTGCCTGGTGTGAGACCAAGAGTGGGTGGGGTCAACACTGGAGCACAGTTAAGAACCACAGACCATTTTCAGATGCTTTATTTTTTTAAGGCAAGGTCTCACATAGCCCTAGCTGGCCTGGAACTTACTATATAGACCAGGCTGTCATTGAACTCACAATGATCTGCCTACTTCCTGGATGTGGGATTAAAGGTGTACTCTATCTCGCCTAGCTAAGTACTTAATTTTTAGCTTGATTAACATAAGTCTATCTTAAGAAAGGCTTCACGTTTTATACTAAACCTCAGCTTTCTGTACCTATTGGATGGGGGTTGCTGCTGGGTGCTTATGAGCTGAGGGGAGGCCACAGAAGCAAGACCTTCTAGTGACCTAACAAGGAAGGCGGTACAACCAGGGGTACCGGAGGAAACTTGGTCATGTAGGGAGGAACAAGTGATCAAGCCAAATGCGGAAGCACACACTTCTAATCCCAACCCTCTGCCTGCAGAGGGGAGGCAGGCAGTGGACTTCCCCAGAGTACCTGATAAGATACAGTGCAGAGGCACTGAGACAGACCTTGTCTCAGACGAGGTAGGAGGCCAGACCAACTCCTGAAAACTGTTCTGTGGCATGCATGCCTACACTCACATACACAGCACAGATACTCATACTCAGACACTGTACACACATACACATACAAACATACATATATATATACACACACACACACATGGATTTTTAAGAAAAGGAAGTAAGAGGATCCCAGGAAAAGGCTGAGAATCTGGAGGGTAAATTTAAGAAAATAATGCAGTGATGGCCTGTCTCATCTCGTCATGTCCTAATACTTAGAAAAATGTCTGGTTTATCAGTATGTATTTCAGGGAATATAACTGTTTCTTAAGAAAATAAAGACAGGGCCAGGCAGTGGTGGTGCACACCGTTAATCCCCAGCACTAGCACTTGGGAGGTAGAGGCAGGTGGATTTCTGAGTTCGAGGCCAGCCTGGTCTACAGAGTGAGTTCCAGGACAGCCAGGGCTACACAGAGAAACCCTGTCCTGAAAAACCAAAAAAGAGAAAAGAAAAGAAGAGAAAAGAAAAGAAAAGAAAGGAAAAGAAAAGGAAGACAGAAACAAACCAACCCCCCACAACTATTGCTTTGAAGAGATGACACAAACCCATGGACAAAACGAAAAGCTATAATGACGTATTGTGCAAAGTCAGTCCCTCCTTCCACAGCTCATGTCCTAGCCACCCAGCTCCCTTTCTTAGCTATTCCTTCGAATTCTCGCAGAAATGCTGTGTGCAGGTAAGAACCCGTGTATATATACTGATCCAAAGGGACTGTTCCCTTTGCTAGGCAAGTTACTCTACCACTCAGCCTAGGTTCATGCACTGAAAACTGGCTCGGGGGCTGGAGAGCTGGCTCAGTGGTTGACAGACATGTCTCTTTCAGAGCAGTCAGGTTTGATTCCCAGCATCCACACGGCAGCTCATAACTGCCTGTAACTTCAATTCTAGGGCTCTAGTGCCCTCCTCTGGCATCTGAGGGCACCACATGCACATGGTAAATAGACATTCACACAGACACAACACTCATCCACACATACTTTTACAATAACAAAACAGATTCAGGCCTAATTGCTTCCCAGAAAGAAAGTACTAGCCTTCTTCCAGTCCCTCTTGTATGATACCATCTATTTTCTAAATTTATATTATCAATTTTTTTATCTTTGCCAATCCAATAGATGTGAAGTGACACACAATTATAGTTTTAATTTAATTTTTATTTCTGGCAATACGGTGAAGGTTAAAGGTGCTAACTGCTGTACATTTGTCAAAATCACTTAATCTTTTATGGCTAATATATACACTGCATTCTTTGCTCTCCCTGGTAGCTGGCTGGGCCAACTGACTTGAGTTCTAGATAGTGGCATGTGGCTGGCAATAGTAACTATAATGGAACCTCTTCAGGTGGCTCATCAAGGCCCTCAAGAGAACCCTCCAGCACCCTGCTCCTAGCTCCTAGCCAGCAGTGGGGTGGATAAAGGTCTGTGACATTGTAGAGATGGTAGAGTCACTGCAAGAGAATCCCAAGTCTGTAAGGAGTGACCACTGAGGACCACCTGCTGACCATGCTGACCACGCTTCATTTTCTACCACATGAAAGAACTGAATTTTGGTGATTTGTATACAATAGTTAGAATCACTTAATCTTTAACAAAGAAACGCCCCACCCCCACCGTGTTTAAGAACCATGGCTACTTCTTCCGTGTTTACTTCCTTGGCCCATGGTTTTCATGAGGCTATGATGGCGCTCTCACCTGTTTTCACATTCAGTTGACATTCTTCACACTGATTTGTTAGGGCTCTTTCTCCATGACATTCTTCCCAATTTGTCATAAGTTATCGTGCAAAAAAAAAATGTGATTCTCATGTAGCTGAATTCTTAAAACTTTTATATTGTCATTATATCCAAAAAGGTCTCTCTACTTGGAGACTGTCATAGTTTGAATATGCTTGGCACAGGGAGTGGCACTATTTGGAGGTGTGGCCTTGGTGGAGTAGGTGTGTCACTGTGGGTGTGGGCTTTAAGACCCTCATCCTAGCTGCCTGGAAGTGAGTATTCTGCTAGCAGCCTTCAGATGAAGATGTAGAACTCTCAGCTCCTCCTGCACCATGCCTGCCTGGATGCTGCCATGCTCCCACTTGACTGAACCTCTGACCCTGTAAGCCAGCTCCAATTAATTAAATGTTGTCCTTTATAAGACTTGCGTTGGTCATAGTATCTGTTCACAGCAGTAAAACCCTAACTAAGACAGAAGTAGGTACCGGGGACTGGGGTATTGCTGAGATAGGCCTGACCATGCTTTTGTTTGGAAGAATCTGGATTTTGGGACTATGGATTTAGAAAGCCATGGAATGCTTTAAGTGGGGCTTAATGAGCCATCCTAGTAGGAATACGGAAGACATTATTGCTGTGAGTGATCTGAACTGTGCAGACCTGGCCTAAGAGGTTTGAGAGGAGAAGAATTTCAGTATGTGGCCTAGAGATTGTTTTTATGATATTTTGGTGAAGAATGTGGCTTCTTTTGCCCTTGTCTGACGAGTCTGCCTTACGCTTAGGCAGATTAATTGCAGACTCAGATTAATTGCATTAACAAAAGAAGTCTTAAAAGAGCCCAGCAGAGACTTTGTTCTCTGGTTAAGTCTTTTGAAGAGCATTTTGAACAAGTGCAACAAGTTTAGAAAGGAAAAATATAAAATATACAGTTCGAGTATTAAAGGGGCACCAGGAAGTGAAATGGAGCTGAATCCTGTGTTCATGCAGATAACAGATTAAGGGAGTGGGATTTTGGGGCAAGATCCTACCCAGCTGAGTTTAGATCTAGGCTTGGTAGTACACACCTTTAATCCAGCATTCAGGAGATAGAACCATGCAGACCTCTGCGTTCAGGTCAATCTACAGAGCAAGTTACAGAAAAGCCAAGGTTAGGCAGAGAGGACGCCAGAAAACAG